GCAATCAGTTCAAAGCAGAGGAATCCATCAATATGTCCATTTCCTCCCAAAGTAAATCGACTCCTTGATTGAGCATTACTTGTTGACTTATTATTCGTTGATGCATCAGTTTATACAGTTTGTTGTGATAACTATCAAGAAGCTGTAGTTTGGTTTTATCTTTGTCTTCACCAGCACTGGGATGAAGATAGGAATTCTGGCAATGATGTTAAAAAAATTATGTAACATTCCAACAGGTACTAAGAAAACAATTTTCTGAACAATTTACATTATCCTGAACAGAATTATTAAATATAATGAAAAGGAAAGGTGAAAGTAAACAAACTGATCTGTTAACCTCCTTATTTGTTCACATATTAAAACAATCCTCAACAGCTGTTTATCCAATTTAAATTAAACCATTAAAATCACATGAATAAAAAAAATTCGGATCCATTTTTTCATGAGCGCTCCTCATATATGATATATGGACATACGCACACACAGACATACAACACAAAACACAAGTGTGCACACAAACATACAACACATAAGACAATAGCAAAGGCCTTGTAGCTTTACACCATTGAAATCTCCATTGCAATGTTTAAAAACTCCACAGTCAAAAAAATAAAACTGATCAGAAAAACATTAACCTAGGTCTGTATGAGCTCAAAAAATAAAATAGAACTTTATGATGTGGGAAAAGGCGATAATAAAATAGATATTGAAAAAAGCATCCTGGTTAATCACTGTCACAGATGTAAGAATAGCCAAGCTGGAGCTCTGGATATAAGCTGTTATGGATTTGAGCCAAATCCTCTTCTTTTTGGTCTGTAGAAATCGATTTAGTTAATCTCTCTGGAATCCAAATTGGCTGCTGTTCTCCCTGTGGAAACATGCAAACAGAACCCCAACTCCAGACAATCACTGGGTCAGGACCTTAGTTAATCTCTCTGGAATCCAAATTGGCTGCTGTTCTCCCTGTGGAAACACACAAACAGACCCCCGATTCCAGACAATCACTGGGTCAGGACCTTTCCATTGTCCTGTCAGAATATCCTTCCAAAGTGCCTTGGGCTTATGTACATTTTTTGGACACATATGCCTTTCTGCAGCACTAAGCCCTGATGAATCCAAATTTAAACAGTTTAGAGTAAAAAGGGTTATTTTAAGTTTATCTTTGGGGGATATATACCCCTTTCCAATTCCTTCTTTTTGTTTTAATAAGTACATTTTAATAGTTTGATGAGCTCTTTCAACTATGCCTTGTCCCTGAGGATTGTATGGAATTCCTGTTACGTGAGTAATGCCAAATGATGAGCAAAATTGTTTAAAGGAGGTGGAAGTATAAACAGGACCATTATCCATTTTTAACTGTTTTGGAACGCCCACAGTGGCAAAATTTTGTAAGCAATGAGCTATAATATCTTTAGTTTTTTAGGGATCCCATCAAAAATCCGGAAGAAGTATCAACTGTAACATGCAAATATTTTAATTTTCCAAATTCTGGCAAGTGTGTGATGTTCATCTGCCAAATATGGTTAGGTATCAATCCTCTAGTATTGACTCCAAGATTAACTTGTGGTAAAAAGGTCACACAATTTTGACATTGTTTTATTATTTGTCTAGCTTGTTCCTTAGTTATTTTAAAACGCTTTTGTAAAGTATTAGCATTGACATGGAACCTTTTATGAAAATTTGTAGCTTCTTTTAGTGTAGAGAAAATATATATGTCATGTGTAGTTTTATCTGCTAAATCATTGCCCAAACTAAGGGCTCCAGGCAATCCTGTATGTGCTCTGATATATCCTATAAAGAATGGATCTTTTCTGTCCCAGATAAGACTTTGTATAGTGGAAAACAAAGAGAAAACAGTAGAGGAAGGGGAAATCCTACCAGCATCTTCGAGGGATACTATAGCATTAACTATATACTGACTATAAGAAAATAAATTAAATACAGAATCTTTAAACATCACAAAAGCTTGTAATACTGCATTAAGCTCTACCTTTTGAGCTGATTGTTTGGGTACTAAAAATGTAAAAGTTTGATCAGGTGTAACTATTGCTGCTGTACCATTATTTGACCCATCAGTGAATACATTTGGAGCATTCATGATAGGTGTTTTTCTTGTCATTTTTGGAAAAACTACAGGATGTGAAGACCAAAAAGACAATAAAGGATTAGATGGTAAGTGATTATCAAATGAAACATTAGATTTACACATGATTATTGCCCAAGTATTTAACTCATTAGCTAACTCATCAATTTGATTCATAGTATATGGAGTAATAATTTTATTGGGAGAAATTCCAAACACTCCCTTTGCTGCTTTTATTCCTTTGAGTATTAATTGTCTTACAGCCTTAGGATACCTAGTAAGAATAGTGTTAGGAGAATAAGATAAATGTATCCATAATAATGGACCTTCTTGCCAAAATACTCCTGTAGGAATATTTTTTGTTGGTAGTACAATAAATAATAAAGGCAAACTTATATCAATTCTATCCAAATGCATATTTTCCATCTATGTTTCATTAATTTTAATGCCTTTCTTGCCTCAGGCGTTAACATTCGGGGTGAATTTGGATCTGATGGACCTTTTAGATATCAAATAAAGGTACCAACTCTCCTGTTGGTATGCCTAGATAAGGCCTTATCCAATTTATGTCTTCTAATAACTTTTGAAAGTCATTAAGTGATTTGAGTTGATCTTATATTTGAATTTTTGGTGGATGGACCATGGTTGAAGATAATAGAATTCCTAAATAATTAATTGGAAAATTTAATTGTACTTTATCTATTGTTATCTCTAGATTATAATTTTTTAATAAATTTGTAAGTGTGGCATAACATTCTAGCAATGTGTTTTTATCTTTGTGTGCTAACAATACATCATCCATATAGTGAAATATTTGTAGTTCAGGATTTTGATTTCTAAGTGGCTGGATTGCTTTGTTAACATAAATTTGACACATAGTTGGGCTGTTAGCCATCCTTTGAGGGAGTACTTTCCATTCATATCTCTGATCAGGACCTTCATGATTCAGTGCAGGGATAGTAAATGCAAAACATGGACTATCCTCAGGATGAATTGGAATTGAAAAAAAAAAACAATCTTTAATATCTATAGCTAAAACGTACCAGGTTTTTGGCAAAGCAGACAATTGAGGAATCCCTGATTGAGCAGGTCCCATAATAACCATCTCGTTATTAATGGCTCTTAAATCTTGCAATAATCTCCATTTACCAGATTTCTTTTTAATGACAAAAATGGGAGTATTATAGGGAGATACGGAAGGTTGTATATGTCCCTCCGCTAATTGTTGTTTGACCAGGTCATGGGCTGCTTGTATCTTTTCTTTTGTCAGGGGCCACTGAGGAACCCATACTGGTCTTTCTGATTTCCAAGTAATTTTTATTGCCTCAGTGACCCCTTCTGAAAACCCAATCCATGTCTATTTATTCCTTGATCTATTTGAATTGGTGCTGCTATACCTTGTTCTTGTTCTCCTAATCTTTTTTCTTTCCTGAAACCTTGTCTAGCCCTAATAGTGGGCGCATTTGGATTGATGTTATTTGTTAATGTCAAACCTAATTGATCTAGGACATCTCGTCCCCATAAATTTATAGGAAGATGATCCAATACATAGGGCTGGGGAGGCCACTCTTGTTGGGCACCACACGCTGTGTACAAAGATTTGTAAACTGAAAAGTGCTCAGAAACTGCAACCAAAGGCTGACTTGCAAGGTCCCATGGCGCATTGGCTGGGAAAACACAATGGGGGCTGGGGCAGAGCACAGAAGCTAGAACTCTGGGCTTTCCTACTTTCAGAAAGTAAAAGCAGAATGACAGGCTGGGATTTTAGGGGAGGAAAGTCTTATAAGTCTGTATTTTGAGTTCCTGCTTTACACAAAGGAGGGATTCAGTGAGTTGGAATGAGTTTTTTCTCCTTATATGCTGTGATATTGAGAATTAAACCTAGGGCCTCATGAATGTTAGAAAAGTATTTTCTGAGCAGTTTTTATTTTATATTCAGATACGTTCTTGCTAAGTTGCCCAGGCTGGCCTCCAACTTGTGATCCTCCTGCTTCAGTCTCCTGAGGAGCTGGGCTCATAGGCATGCACCATCATGCTGAGCACAATTTAAAAAACAATCAATTTAATTCTAACATGAAAATACTATGTTTATGGTCATCTCAATATGATGCTCTCAATAGATACAGAAAAACATTAAAAATTTGAACATCGATTTGTAATAATGCACAACCCTCAGAAAACTAGAAAAAGAAGAGGACTTCCTCAACCTAATAAAGGACATCTACAAAAAGCAAAGCAAAAGACAACAAAAACCCTACAGCGAACATATTTAATGGTGAAAGGCTGAATAGTTTCAAATCTATAAATAAGACCAAAGCAGGGATTTCTGTTCTCATAACTTCTATTCAGTATTGTACTGGAACTTTCAACCAATACAATGAAGCATAGGATAATTCTAGGATAATTCTATTTAAGCAACTTAGAAAATAAGGAAAAAGTTGAAAGCATTAAACTACATTATTTTAAGACATTTTTAAGCTCCAGTAATCAAGATCATATGGTAGTAAAATTAAGGCGATATATAGATATTTACAAATATGTCTATATCATATAGACATGTGGAAGAGAATAGAGAATCCAGATATAGACCCACACATGTACAATGCATTACTTTAAAACAAATGTGCTAAGACCATTCTATGGAGCAATATATTCTCTTCAACAAATAGCCATCAGACAACTGGACATGAATATGCAAAAATGTGAATCTCAATGTCTGCCGCGGAACTAGCATGCTAGCTTCATACTAGAGGTTCTAAGCATAGAAATTAACTAGTGAGATCAAAATAAACACACATAAACCCAATTTACCTTTTTCTTGACCAGGTCAGAGACGGCCCCCTCTGCCCCTGCCTCAAGCCACCCGGTGGGGTAGTGAGGTTTACACAGGAGACTAGCAGGAGAGAGAGACGGCACGCCAGGGAGTGGCCTTTTATTGGGGAACAAGAAATTCAGGGGAAAATTCCATCCAATGAAGGTCAAGGGGGACAGCATTCTAAGGTCAGGGTCAGTGATTGGTCTCTGGGTCAGTGGTCAGTCAAACCCCCACATGGACGGGCTCTCGCACCTAAAAAGGGTGGGCATTAGTTCTGACACAGCTTGGCTGGAACGCCTCAACCCAGTCAGGGAGGTGCTCAATCACGTGGGCACAATTATTGAGGTAGTCAGGTTAATGCAAGTGTGTGGCAAGATGTGAGGTGCCAGGAAAGCACAGCATAACAAGTATGCACCGCTTGTGAAATGACTAGGAAATACATTTGGGGACAGCTAGGAAATCTTTGCAAACTATCCTATGGCATCTGTACTGCCTTCATCCTAAATACAACAGGAAATCAAGACAGCCTATTATTTGCTAGGATCCTGGTTCCATGGTACAAATGAGTGGGCAGTATGGGGACAGCTGAGTGTGGTGCATTATGAGATCATGCTGGTAAGTTGTTCTGAAGGTTTAGGACCCTGCCCTCATTTTCGAAATTGATTCATGTATAGGACCATCCTTATGGAACTAGAGAGAGAATCTGGGGACAGTGAAAGAGGGAAACTCTCCATACAGAGGAAGTACAACCCTTAGGGAGATGAGAACCTGCCACAGAACAGAAGGGTGTTAGTTTTGTTATGCCTAATGAAGAAGAGGAAGGGGTGGTCAGCACAGAACCTCGGTAAACAGGCCGCACAACATCCCATAATTGCTATGCCTGTGGCCGCTGCAGCCTCAGTGCCTTCTTCATTCACCTCCACGACACTCTTGTGCACAACCTTGGACAGACACAGCTCTGTCTCAGTTGACATGGCAGAGAAGTCAGCCTGGCCCTGTTGGAAGGCATCGACCATTCCCAGACGCTGAAGCACAGACTGCATGTCATAATCCTCCTGCAGTTTAAATCTCGGAAGGAAAACTTCCACTTCAATATTCTTCATAGAGGCTGGCTTGGTCCAGGCTATGAATTTCTCAAAAGTCAGGTTATTTTCCACCTGAAAGACCAAAATCACAGGTTCACATTCAGACTTCAGTGCGTATCTACAGACCACACAGACATTTCCATGAACATTCCATGTTGACTGTCCACACAGGATGGGCGGCTCCTTCAGCTACCCAGAAGCTTGTGAGGGCTCTGACTTGTCCACCACCCCACGTGCTATCCCATATGTGACTTCCCTGCAGGAAGACTGTGGCTGCCCCTCCTTATCCATCCACTGTAGATGTTTCATTCTGACAAGTGTCCACGCCCAGTGGATGGCATATCTAGTGGTATTTGTTGGTTCAAACGAGGCTTAGTTTTGCAGACAATGAACCATCACTGGTAAGAAAAACAGACTGGAAAAGGAAGGGCTCTCAGTGTGAGCCCCTCCTGGGGAGGACATCTGCTTAATGTGGGATGTGACACTGTTTGTGGAAATTCATTGTCACAGTTGGGAGCTGGGCAAAGGAAGAGCCCATAGGGTGGCTCTGCTTACAGACTCCTTAGGTCATCCCTTTTCACTGCCACCATTGAGAGGATGGTTGACTCTCTCTATAGGGATCATACCACAAGGAAGCAAGGAGGACAGGGATGGGCCATTTGGGGCTGTCTCTGGTTCCACCTTCTGAGCATTGGACCTCACACCTCCCTAACTGCCACCATTCTCCCCTTCCTGCTTTGTTAGGTCAAAGTGTAGGATTGTCTCAACCTCTAGCATAGGTTCTTAGAATTTAATTATGATGCTGACAATGGTGATGCTGATGAAACCCATCTGGAGAGAGTTTACTGTTTGTCAGGCAACATGCTGAGCTGTTACAGAAGCTGCCCGCACTGTGTCCTCCCAATACCACTATCAGGCACACATCATCTTTTTCCAATTCTAGCAATGAAAAAGCTGAGGCTGAGTTGGGTTATGTCATTGGAAGGGCCTCACATAGAGTAAAGTGGAAGCCAGTCTTGAACTAAACTGTGCTCTGCAGGCTGAGTTTGTAGGCATCACTCACTTGAAGGGCTAACACAAAGGTCGGAAATGGTGGTGGAGCTTTCATGAAAAAGAGCAAACAGCATAACCATTCTTGCCTCAGAAATTCTGAGTGCAAAGGACTGCAGCCCCTCCTGACTCACCGAGCTGAGAAGCACACCATCGTCTGGGAGCAGAATGATCATGCTCAGCTCCTTGCTGGCGTAGGGCAGCTCCAACACCTGAGTCTGCACCTCATTCACGTAGCCGATGTTAAAATAGGCTTCCTGACACATCATCTGCACTGGTATTTCCTCCTTCTGGGAGGGATGAACAGATGAGCACAGAATTTAAAACAGTACAAAAAGGGGCAAGAAAACTATTAAATGAATGGTGATCCAGCACTGCTAAAAATTAGTAGTTATCTAAAATATGCCTTTCAAAGAGGGGGAGGAGTTGATGCATACAAGCTTCCTATTGCATTAAATTTATATTTTAAGGGATTAGGGAGTTTGGTAAACTATTTTTATTTCTGCTTTAATTGAAGTTATACCTCATAGTTGACTAAGTCTTTTACAACTCATTTTTAATAATTGAAAGCAACAAATGTTGAATTAATAATGATAGGTTATTATTAACAACAACTCAAAGGAAAGCTTATTTTAATTTTAAAAAATTGATTAAAAGGCAGGGTTGCAGCTCAGTGGTAGAGGACCAGCACAAGGCCCTGGGGTTGATCCTAGCAATGAAAAGCATAAAACAAAACACACCAAAAAATCTTAAATAAAAAATATGTATAATCACATTCCCTTGTTCCAGCCTGTCCCATATTTGACATGTGTGTGTGTATCTATGTGTGTGTGTGTGTGTGTGTGTGTTTGTGTCACCTAATTTTTGTTTATTATCTAAGCACCTGGGTTTTTCAGAAACCTATAGTTTCCAGAATTAATAGTAGCAATACATGCATAAGAGTTATCAGAAGTAGTAAAGCCTGTAAAGGTTGCAAACAATCACACAGCAAGTTTTATTTTTTCATATAATATTTAGTGAATTTAAAATTCATTATTATTTTTAACCATTTATATCTTACAAAGTTAAAATTTTTTATTCAATTTCATCACCAGACTAGCATGATATTTTAAAGATTCTCCCTACCTGGTTTATTTTAAATGGCATTTCACACGTGCATGTTTTGTCAAATGGCTCGTCCCATGTTCCTTTGAAGTAGATGGCATTGACAAGAACCAGCCTGGCCTGCTCATCAATCAAGTTAGGTGGCAGCAACTCTTGAATTTTTCCTTTCAAGTTAAAGCAGAGACTATCAGTTGCTTTTTATGAACCCGTGGTGAATAAGCATGACACGATGTCTTGGAGATCCAATTGGGTTTCAAATATGGTGTTCTGATGGTTATGTACAAAAGTTAAAAATTCTAGCTATGAGTGGTTTGGATGACAACAGACACTGGAAGAGCCACCAAGTTGAAGATGGCGAAAGACTTCCAAGTCACTGGAAGAAAGCAGGTTGGGACAGAGCAGAAACTTGACACCAGGTTGGAGAAGAAGACAAGCAGCAAAGGAGAGAGGGGCTGGGTAGGAGCTGATGTTACCTGCTGTGGGTAAGAGCAGTGTCAGGTCTGAGGCCCTGTGGTCAGGCCCAGTTCTAACATTGTACAGCTACCTGGCAACATTCCTGAGGCACACAGAATGGATGGGGTCCACACAAGGGGCACAGGAGGAGTTTCTGGAAACTATTGGAAGAGACTGCATCCTCCTGGTATCCCTGGAACAGATAATGATTTGGGTAGGTGAAGGTACTTCCTTCTTACCCTGGATATCAAAGGGTATGTTTCCAAGGAACTAAGAATATTACTTGCTAATTTGCTGCCTCAAGAGGGCACAAGAAATAGATTCTAAGAAGAAATTGAGGAAAGAACTACCTCTGTTTTTTACCATTTCGTTTGTTAGCAGAAATACTGATGTTGTTAGTGGTTCAAGTGTCTGAATGGTTCAAACATCAAACCATCATTGATCTTGGGGGTGTTCTTAGTCTGTGCAATGAATCAGCCATGTGGCTCAACATCAGGTTCTGTGGTTGACTAATGAAGTCGAGGCTTCTCAAGTCTCATGAAGGGCACTTAAGTGAGAGATAGGAAAGAAGCAGTAGAAGTCAGGTTCACATGTAAAAGTGGAAGGAATGCAGTCCAAACTGACCCCAGGAAGAGGAGGGCCAAGGGCATGACTTGGAGAAGAGCTGGCCACTGATCTTCTCCCAGAGAGGACAGTCAGCTGCCATGTGAACATTACAGGACAGTGACAGTATGTTCTCATGTAAAATATTACATGGGAAATCTGGCCTAAGAGGTTTTTTTTTTTTTTTTAACACTTTTATCAGTCACTCTACTTCCAGGAGAACTGATAGCATTAATCCTGTGGTTTTGAAAACCTGAGCATTGATCAGATTTTCCGTGAGCCACTAAGGTTCACACACACCATGAGGCTCAGCCAGGCAACCTTGCTCTGACCTCCTGCAACACCAGTGACATTAGCAGTCAGGAGGCAGTTAGCCTAGGGGAGGAGAGGGCAGAGCTGGGGTGGGAGGAGAGGGGAATGAGTCATAATTCTGACCTTTTGTCTCTTTTGAGACCCAGGTGTTTATATGCTCCCTGGACTCCTCTGTAGCTTCAGCAAAGGACAGCAGCTCCAGCTCCGCATGGTAGAACTGAAGACAGGACTCCTTAAATGTCTTGGGAGAGAAAAGTGTTCAGTGAGGCCATGTTACTAAATAAAATGTCAGTGAGCTTCAAAACATTCTCAATGCCATCTATATGCTTTTTTAAAATTAAAAAGAGCACACAGATCTTTTAAACATGATCACATCTTAAGCCACTAGATGTTGAAATAACTAAATTTGTAAGGAAGTATGTCCTGAGCCCTGAATAACCTGAGATATATACATGAAAGAAAATAAAATTTAGATATGGTATAATTTGAAACAATACAGGTATGATTATAGAATCAGGGGTCTTTAAAAAAAATTTACTATAAGTTTCTCAACTTACCTAGGTTTTGTTTCATTGTTTGCTTGTTTTGAAGCACTGGGGATTGAGCCCAGGGCCTTAAGCATGCTAGGCAAATGTTCTATCAAGCAGCTATGTCCCATGGCATTGTTTTCTTTTTCTTTTTTCCATTTCTTTTTCGGTATGGGGATTGAACTCATGTGCACTCGACCACTGAGCCACATCGCCAGCCAAATTTTGTATTTTATTTAGAGACAGGGTCTTACTGAGTTGCTTAGCTCCTTGATGTTGCTGAGGCTGGCTTTGAACTCATGATCCTGCTGTCTCAGCCTCTTGAGCCTCTGGTGTATATGCCACTGTGCCAGCCATTTTGTTTTTGAGATAAGCATATCACTAGGTTGCCCAAGCTGGTCTCTAACTCTCCATCCTTCTGCCTCAGGCTCCCAAGTGTGCCATCCTGCCTGGTGTCTAGGGTCTCTCTTCTGGGTTGTATATCACCAGGTATTTTAAATACAACTTTTATTGTTCTACTGACTCAACTTACTGAGAGGAAATCACAGGTCTTCTCTCCAAAGAGCCTGTTGGCTGTTGTAAGCAAGTACTTTGAGCCAGGCTTGTTCACTTGGGTGAGAAGCATCTGGAAGTTCTTATGGATGTCTTCTTCTGTGTTTAAAGACAATGCCTGTGAAGGAAAGCAAGAGAAAACTATCAATTTTGATCTCAGTCTTAACTAGAATTTGCAAACAATTTCTTTTTTCTCAAATACTGCATGAAATTATGCTTTGTGAGGAAGTAGTTCCTAATTGAGATGTGACACTGGTGGGATAGGTGGATAGAGGGACCAGGAAACTGGTAAGTAAAAGATATGGCTCTTCTGCTTGCACAGAGCTCTCTGCATAGTTTATAGATGAGCAATAGAAAAAAAATGAAAGGGCAAGAGAGGTTCAGATAAGGGACTATTCTTAAGTCTTGCATCTCATGGACAGCATAAATGTATCAAAAATAGAGGAAAACTTGCCTGTACAATTTTTCACCAAAACACCATGTAGTTCAAAACACTAAAAATCCATGAAAAAATTGGACAGGAATGCAATCATAATGATAACCTTCAAAAGGAAATCAAAGTATAAAAATGAGCAGGGTAATAAATATGAAAAAAACAGAATACTTAAAATAGTATGCTATAGAGATTATATATATATATATATATATATATATATATATATATATATATACACAGATTTTATGATACTTCATATTTCATAAAATGTGTCACATATTAAGCCATAAAAAAGTTTTAATTGACCTGAAATACAGAAAATACACAGTTTATATTCAATGACCTCAGCATAGGGAACTAAATGTGAATAACACTACAAATAAAATACCAACATCATGGAAATTAACCTATTAAGTAACTATTGCAAACATTTTCTAAATAAATGATTTCAAGAATTTCTTGAAATACTATTTTAACTATGTAACAGATGATTTGGAAAATGATCAAAATAAAAGTTATATTACCAGAAGGTAATATAACATTTCCAAGAACGTAAGTAAAAACAGCATTAATTGTTATCATATTGCCAAGGAAATAGCAAATTTTCCAACACATGATGTTAAGAAAGGTACAGAAAAATTACTAAGGATTTTAGGGAAAAACATAAAATGGTCAATGAGCCTAAGAACTGGTTCTTTGAAAGAAAGCACACATGTCCACACAAAATAGACAGAAATCAGCAACTGCAAGAAAAAAAATTTAAAAGTACCTAGAAGGCAAGTTATAAGTAAAAAACAGATTACACAGAAATGCATACAGATAAATTGTTAATAAATGAAAGCTAAATTATTTTCATCAAAGTGTAAATTATGAATTACCAAGTGAATATACAGAGATGTGGACATGGGTAAAAGTTGCTCAATGGTCACTGAATTACAGATAGGAGCAAGAGATTCTGGTGGCTGCTGCACAGTAGGTGTGACTACAGAGAATGATAATGTAGGGTACATTTCAAAGAATTGCAAGAAAAGATATTGTATGCTTTCACCATAAAAAATGATAAATGATTGAAGTGATAGATATGTTTACCTGATTTGAACATTACACAATGTACACATGAATTAAAACATCACATAAGAGTTACCCTGTAAATATGTATAATCTTTATGTTTCTGGGTATCAGTTAAATAGTTATTTTAATTTAAAAAAGTGCCCCCCCAAGGAATCTAAAGATATACAAAGGAAAAACAATAAAAGATAAGATTCTTGAAAGCTGTAGATGATCTTTGGAGGGAATTTTTTTTTCTAAAAATATTCAACAGCTATATATCTTATGCCATACACAGTGTCCTATAACATGGAAAAAGATAAAAAGCAACTAAATTCATTTCATCAAGTTTATAGATTATTAAGAAGAAAATCTGTCAAAAATAGAACAAAATGCCACTGAATTACAGGCTGTAAATGTGTTAAGATGGCAAATTTTATATGTGTATTTTACCACAATTGGAAACTAAAAGATCAAAGCAATTTCACCTGAGACTGTGATATCACTATGATAATAATAGCTAACTCATGTTGAACATTTGCTTTAGATGAATTATCTCACTGAATCCTCCCATTAATTGAAAGAACATTTATGCAAAGAAAAATACAGTGTGTCATCAAAGTATAAAAATTAAATACAAAATGTGGACATGAGACTGGAAGAAAGTGTCTCTCATTCTCAGAGAGCTGCCTCTGCAGAGTGAGTCCTTAGGGACTTTTAATTGTTTTTCTACTTTCCTTTTAAAAGCTTTTTTTTTTTTTTTAATAATGGTGTCTTACCACTTACAACATGAAGGAAAACAAATAACCTTTAAGGAGATTTCTGCAGCCTTACACTTTTCCTTCCGGCTATCAGCAGTAAAGTGTCATGAGCATGTGCTTATCATCCAGTTGAACCCTGGAGGTATGCAGATCTCCCAAGTCACATCTGATAAAGTCACAGGCAATAGTTCTATTTTTGAAATATATGTACTAGACCATCCTTTTCTATAGTCACCAGAACGTCCTGCTCCTAACCTACTGTAACTTAATGCCCATTGACCAAACTTTCCCTCCCTTCTTGTTTCTTCACTTTCATTTGGGAATTCATAATTCACACTTTGTTGGAAAGGGGCTCTCAGTGGGCATAAAACCTAGAAAAAAAAATCCCAAGACTTAGGCAGAGAGAACTTCCTCTATGCATGAACCTTCACTCCTTTATCAGAGCATCAAAATTATTAAAACAAGTAGACACTACTGAAAAGGGTCCTCCAGGAAACAGAAAGTCACCCTGCATCATCAGTGCCTAATACTCGAATCATAAAGGTGTGAGCAGGGGTAGAGCTCAACAATGACACAAGTTTTTAGGCTTTTTCTCAGGCACCTGTCTCCCCTGCCCTCCCAAATAACAACAACAAAAAAACCTTAAGAGACAGTGACTGATTTGTAATAATTTCTAGATGTTCACTGAATGATTTTTCATTATAGCTACTCAGGTCTCCATGGTCTATAGAAGTGAATAAGAACACACCTGTTAACCTTCCTTTGCATATTTTGTTTATCCCCCCCACTCAGCAAGGCAGGTTGGTAGAGAAACAAAGCAAAACTTATTAACCTTGCTCATCAATGACTAATTACAGTTGCAAACCTTTACTCCAATAAAAAATAGATAGTAGCAACCCAGGACCTCAGGCATGCTAGGCACATGCTTTACCACTGAGCTATACCCCAACTTCTCATCGTCATTTCCTAAACAAATTGCAAGGCAAACTTGTGAGAGTCTCCTCCAGATTATTAACTGGGGAAACTACCCCTGCCATCCCTCAAAAAATGTCACTGGAGGAGACTCCTCGCCTTTCTCCCTTCCTGCACCCCTCTCCCTGAAATGGTCCAGGCTCACCCCTCCTTTCTCAACAGTTCTGGAAAACACTCAAGGAGAGATAAGAGACAAGCCTTGCAGACCAGTACCTCTTCCAGGGTGACAGGTGAGCTTACCTGAGCCATCTGGACCTTGGTGTTGCCCTTTGCCCCCAGGAGGACCATGGCCAGGGCAGAGGAGATGCTCAGGGGAGAAAAAAACACATTTTGTGAAGGTCTGTCTTGACACAGCATCTTCATAACCTGGCAGGCAAAGGTGCCATTTGCTTCAGAAACAGAATCCATGATTCAGGGTCTGGGGGCAAAGAAGACAGAGAAACACAGTGTAATGGGGCTGAGGACACTGTGTGTGCTCTCTGCTTGGCTTTCACTTTTCTAGTGAGCACAGCTATGGAAGTCCATTCTGCACGTGAGGAAGGGGCAGGTCTCTGTAGAGCAGCACACTGGCAAGGCATGGAAGAGCAGAAAAGCATGCAGGGATCAGCAGGTGACAGGTCAAAGCAAGAGCAGGGAGGTGGTAGGTGTGAAGCCAGAGGAGGAGGAGTGAAAACACCAATGGGCAGCTCTATGCAGTAAGGCCCTCCCTCACCAGGGGATGGCCTTAAACCTTGGGAAACCTCCCTGACTCCTTCCCATTTCTCCAGGTCTCCCCAAACCTATTGTCCAGGCCTGCCTTCAGACCCCTCCCAAATCTTTCTACCCCACTCCACTTCTCCAGCCCCTGTGACCCTGTGCCTAGTTCAGACCACCTGGCCCCTCTCCAGAGCCTCTGACCTCCCTGCCCCTAGGCTCTCCATTGTGATCAGCCCTTGCTCACTAAAATGCAATTCAAGTGGGCTGGGGAGCCTCAGAGCTTGGGCTCCCCCATCAGGACCCCAGATGGACAGACACATAGCATCCTGAGTAGGAAGTACTATCTTGATCCTATGACCTTCCCTTAAATCTCCAGTGGACCTGGGGATAAGCTCAAAAATGCCTTTTCTAAATGGCTTCCCATCTGCCTGGCCCCATACCCTGCTCCAGCCTCCCACCTCTCACAGCCTCCACCTCTACCCTCCCTGATCCCCCCATCACCTCTGAGCCTTGAAAAACAGTGATATACAACTTAAAAGACTCCCTACACCATCCCTGTCACCAAGCTCAAATCACTCCCTCCTCCCTCCTAGGCTCAGCACCAGGAGACCTCTGATGTCCTAATCTAGATCTCCCCACTCCCCCACCCTGACTCTTAACCCCTTATTGTAATTCTTTGTCTCATCCATTGTTGGACCCACAAGACTGGCTGCACCTGCAGGAAAGGTGGCTGGTATCCTGAGTCTAAGCACCTGGAAGTATGCTCAGGAAACAGCAAGAACTCCATCAATTAGGGCGGAATCTCAGATGAATAAAGGGTGCTGGGATTTTGAATTGGAGACTGGAGATTTTAAAAGCACAGTGAAAGGTAAGTCAGAAGTCATGCTGTGACTCCCTGAGGAGAGAGGAGAGGTGAGAAAATAGGGCCAGTAGGAGGGAGCTGTGTTGGAGCTTGAACCCCCACCAGGATGAGGGCCAAGGCCAGCCAGGGGCAGGCAAGAGGCAAGCAGAGAAGCCAGGAGGCTGTGCAGCTTCTTTGTCTTCTTGGAATTGCCCTGAGCTGCTCTGGGACCAGCTCCTGCCTTCTGGGATTCTCTTGTTTTGCTCACATTCCATGTTCCAGGATCCCACCTCCCAGCTGGGGGATCGGGTTTCCAAAACTTGGTTGCATCAGGTTCCCCTGCTAAACCCCGCCCCGCGCAGAGAAACCCCCACCTGCCACCTTCTGCACCAAGGCCTCTTCTACTTGCAGCGCCACAGGATAAGGACCTCCGAATCGCAGGACCAGGACCCTGGTGTTGTGGTCAGGCGGGTTCAGCCTGGAGACTCAGCACTCGCAGAGATCTTTAATCAGCCCTGTTTGGCCGCAGGAAATTTCTGGGGAGGCGTCCTGGGTGACCTGCGACTCTGCCAGGATAGGGCCTTCTCAGGAATGGGTCACTATCCCCTCCTCCTGCCGCTGGCCTCGCCTTGGTGACCCACCCCTTTGTGCTTCAGCACCTCGCCACAAGCTGGAGCTGTTGTGCACTGCATTCTCAGGGAAACCGAAAGAAAAAACTAATAAATCAACAGGAAGAGGCTGGGGCTGGGGAAGGACACAAAACCTAGAACTCTGGGCTTTCCTGCTTCCAGAAAGAAAGGCAGAATGAGAGGCTGGCATTTTAGGGGAGGAAAGTCCTGTAAGTGTGAGCCTCCTGCCTGACAGGAAGGAGGGATTCAGCTGGATGGATGTGTCTGTTTCTCTTACAGGCCGTTGATGGGAATGTAAATTAGCTCCATCAGGATGGGATGGTAGGGAGGTTCCTCAGAAACTAAAAGTAGGACTACTGTTATGATTCAGTCGCCGAGGTCCCTCTTCTGCGTGTGCATGTGAAAGAATCAAAGTCAGCATAGTACAGAGACAGCTGCATCCCCATGTTTATCCCAGCACTGTTCACAAAAGCCAAGTTATGGAATGAGCCTTGGTGCCTGTTAGAAGTTGAATGGATAAAGAAAATATTATATATATACACACACATATATATTCATATATGTGCATAAATATGGCTGAGTTTATTCAATCATAAAGAACGAAATAAGTTAATTTGCAGGAAAATGGATGAAACTGGCGATCATCATTTTAAGCAAAATAAATTAATTTCAGAAAAGCAATATCTCACTTTTTTCTCTCGTATGTGGAATGTACGGGGCAATAAAAAAAGACATGAAAGTAGGGACTAATAGAGAAGGGGAGTAGGACCAGAGGTATGGCATGGGGTGACAAGAGAATTTAAGAAGTAGGGTGGATCTAGTGAAAATATGAATATGCTTGTATGAAATTGCAACAGAGAAACCCATTTTTTGGTATGATTTCTATTCACTCGTAATATTTTTTGGTATGCTTTCTATCCACTCATAATTGTTTTAAAAATGTTTTTTAAAACTGTTGGTTCTAGCTCCTCCCCCACTAATTAGTACTAGTCCAGGACCCTCATAGGGAACACAAGTGTCCTAACTCTTAGCAACTGAGCTCTTTTCCAACTTCTGGTGCTTAGGCTGTGGTGCTGGTATATAATCAGCCCTACTCTTCTCTAGCAATGTGAGAGAAACAGATACTGAGTCAAATGGCTCAGGACATGACTTGTGTTCATCAGGAGGTGCAGAGCAGGGACCACTTTAAGCAAGTTAATTTAGTAGTTCATGTCATCCAAGAGCCACACTCTTCCCTGTGCTTTTTTTGTATCAGCTTTCTCCTCAAGGCTGGAAGCAATTGGAAATATTTCATGTTGACATGTTGTTGTCCCCAGGAAGAGAACAGACCAAATGACTTTTCCTCTGAAGCAGGGAACCTTTCCCAGAAGCTTGTCCATGAGCAGATTACCCCACCTGTTTCAAATTAATGAAAATTAGTGTTCTCTCCTGAGGGCCAGAATTAGGGTGAGGCAAGACAGATGTTTACCACCAAACATTTAGAGGCACACTTTCTTAAAATTTTAAGGAGGCCCCAACTCTAGGTCCTCCTTAATTTTTTTTTTCTAATAACATCTTTATTCTCTGGCCCATGCCTGTAATCCCAGCAGCTAGGGATGTAGAGGTGGGAGGATCTAGAGTTCAAAGCCAGCCTCAGCAACCTAGTGATCCCCTGTCTCAAAAAATAAAAAGGGCTAGGGATGTGGCTCAGTGGTTAAGCACCCTTGGCTAAAATCCCCAGTACCCCCCAATAAATAAATAAATAAATAAATAAATATCAAATAACACCTTTTAAATATATAACATGCACATCATAAAATTGAAAAGAAGTATTCTGAGACATCCTGAATTAAGTTACCAGCAGGATGGAGGAAAGAAAAAGTAAGAGTTTAACTGATAGTTTTAAGCTTAACCAAGAAAGAAAAGTAAAACTGCCTCACATTCCTTTCCCATATTTTCAAGATTAGCCATCATGACTAAATTCCATCCTGCTTATAGACTCAACCAACCAAGAAACTATAGAAACTTGTCCGTACAGATTCTCTTCCGCTCCCAGGTCTCTGTGTACTTCATGTTGTCCTGTCCCTCTCCTCTCTAGCCAATGTAGGGTTCATGAAATTAATCTGTTGCTGAGGTCCAGCCCCAGGGGGGGAGTGAGGGTCCAGGGTGGTCCTGAAGGAGGAGTGGCATCGGGGAAAGAAGAAAAGTCTGGATGACAGGTTGCAAGTTAGGAGCAACCTCCAGAAGACATCTCATGCTGCCTCTGGAGGGACCTTTATTTTTGTACCTTTTTTGCAGGTGTTTTTTTCAGGTAGATAATGGATAACTTCAAAGCCTGAAACTCTCTTGATTTACATAATTTTCAAGAATTACAATCTTTTCTGACATACATTGATTACCTAAGATATTGAGTGCATTGTTCAAAGTATTTTTCTGTAACCTTAGTCAATTATGATTAAGCTTTTAGGTTTTCACCTCAATCACTAGGTGCTAGGGGATGCAACTAGACTACATGACTCCTGACCTATTATTCCCTTCTAACTTTAAAGCATACCTATAATTATTTCATTAACCTTTAACTTTAAATCATACTTATGATTATTGGTAAGCTTTCTTACTTCTAAACTAAAATCCCAGTAAAACACACTTAAAGTAGTGAAAGTCTATTATTTAAAAGCCTACTACTTTGAAGTGCCTCTAAAATATATCTATGTTAATTTTACATTATTCTATTTTAACTTCCAAGGTAATTCCCTTTCTTTTCATATGACCTATTCAGCTGCTTTCTTAAAGAACTTCCTTGATCCTTGGTCAAAGCACACCAATTCTCATGTCTTTGTAATCTTTAACTAAAGGGCAGGCTTTACACCTCAACCCATTCGTCATTTATATTAACTATGTGTTTTCCATTTTCATCATAAGTTTCTGCATAAAGCAAAGGAGGGTCTATTGGTTGGGGAATGTATTTTTATTAGCCTCTTGTCCTCAAGGGGATACCATAAGCTACATACGGTGGTCCTTGTACAGTTGGCACAGCAATTGTTTTTCTGTAGCTAGGCTATTGAACAGGTTGTGGCTTTAGGATGGGGTTGGTGGGGGCTAGTGTAAATTGTTAACCATGGGATAAATATTTCTTGTTGTTTAAGTTTGAGGAATAACACCATTGTTTGTGTCCTGAGAGACACTGAAACACACCTCATGGCATGTCTCCATTGTATCCTTAGTCTCATTTTGGGAATTTTCCTGCAATCTCAGGCAATATGTCCTTTTATTATTGATTAACATATGCCCTGTTATCCACATCATGAGTATCATAAACAAAACACTTAATATTCCTAATGGTTCCAGTTTCCAGATGGCACGGCCTTGCCTCAGCATCCCCCATGCTGTGACCCTGTCAGACATCGTGTGCAGGAACGCCTTCACCAATCTGTGCCTACTGCTCTCTGGATTTTTATTATAAAATATCTTTAGATCCAGTGGACATTTTTCCAGATGCTACTTAGCAATGCTGCTGGTGACTTAGGGAATTTTCCCTAGGACTAGGCTAACAACCTATATAACACCATTTATTTCAGGGATGTCACCATCTCAAAATTTTCGTTTAACAATATTTGTCCCTTTAAAGCATACAATTCAGGATATTCATAAAGCTGTACAACTGTCACCACTGTCTAACTCCAGAATATTTTCATTACTTCAAAAGCAAATGGACTACTCATTTCCCTCCTCCATCTCCCCCAAACCCTAGAACCACTACTCCATTTTTTTTTTTTTTCTCAATGCATTTGTCCACTGAGAACATGTCATGTAGGAGTCATGATGTGGTATTTTACCACAGCTTTGAGTTGTGTTTCCTGATGAGTCATGATGTCGAACTTCTCATGCGCTTTTTAGCTTATTATCTTTCTCTAAGAAATGCCCATTCAAATGCTTTTGCCTAGTTTTAAAATGGTTTAGAACTTATTTTACTTTTGAGTTTTTTAACATCTGTTTTTAACTACACGAGTTCTGGTTATTTCCTCATCTCTGTGGTGAATTCTAAATTTTCCCAGAGTTAAAATACTTATCCATTCTCTAACATGTCAGGTGACTGACTGTACCACCTCTGTGAGACTGAGACTGATGGACCCATCTCCCCCAACTCATGCACTTGGGAAGCCTCTTCCTGGAGTCTGAGTCTTTTTTCCTATCACCTTTACCTGTTAAGGTGACTGCTTCTTTCATGTGTCTTATTCAAGGTCCTTTAATCAGAATTGATAAACCTAGACTTGATTGATTAACTAAAGACCCTTTCTCAGGGCTGATCAGTTCCACAGATTGAAGACACCCTCCATTTGTGTTTGTACCTCATTTGTTTCTTTTCACAGAGTGACATGTTCTAACATTAGCCCCCAAGATCAACGATGGCCTGATGGTTGAACTGTTTAGGTGCCTCAGCACCATTGAAACTGAGTACCATGACTTAGTTCATCTTCAATACCACAGACAGTTTTTATTATAAAGGAAAGAGGTTCATTTTGGCTCACAGTTCTGGTCCAGGTTCAAGGGTCTTTACCGGGCAATGGCCGACTTAAGGGCAGAGTCCCAGTGCAATGCAAAGTATCCATGGCAAGAATCGAGGAGCACACTAGACACATGGCCAAACCAGGTTTTATATTGGACCCACTCTCAACCCATTAACCCTTAGTTAACTTGGTTTAATGGATTAATTACTTTGTTTATTAGGTTGGAGCCTAATCACCTATTAAATGTCCCACCTCGTCCCATTGCTTAATATTGTACAATGAGGATTACATTTCAACATGAATCCCAGAGGGCACAGATAAGCCCTACTCAAACCCTAGAGAACTATTAGGAATATTTGTATTTCTGTTAACATAGGTAGTGTTTCCCTTGGGACTGAGCAATTATTTCCCCCATTTCTTCATGGAATTTTTACTACTTATACCCTCTTAAGACAGTATATTAGCAAATTAAATCTTAAATTGTTGACAATGTACCACTATCCAGAGGGGAAAGGAGTA